AAAAAGAAACGAGCTGCCGGCAACTCTTCTCGCGGAGGGTACACACAAATTGTTCATTGCGGGACACCCCCACTAGCGCCATCTCTCGTGAGATAACACTGTAACACCCCCTACAGAAACGCACGATCCTAAAAGCGAATCTGCTACATATGAAACAGGAGTCACGCATATATTTTTTATTATTAATATCAAATGGTACTTAAATTGAAGGGTTTATAGATATTAATAATAAGAAATATAAGAAATTATGATACATGTTTATTCCCTGCTGTCTCTAAAATGGAAACGCATTTATTTCATTGGTATTTCTTAAAACTTATTTTTACTTTACATTATAAATTATCACATTTGCATTCATCCTTGTTCATATACATGTAGTTAGATGTGCATTAAACATGAATCAATATGTATGTTTTGCAAGTTATTTACATGTATGTTTGAGTATGCATTTCTGTTGTATTAGAATTAAGAAATCCAGGGAGCAAAAAGACATGATATATAAATAATAATATCCATAAATAAATGATATGACCGAGACTGACTGAACTGACTTCAGTTAACTGACTGACCGAGAAGAACCGACACTGCATATCTACCTAAAATACCCCACAATGAATATCCTACACACACGTAAAAATCCAAAAAACAAAAAGCACAGGCAGATAGTCGATCGGTTCAGTACAGAAATCAAACGCACGCACGATTTTACAGAGCTTCTGTATAACATTCATGCATATTATATAGTATACGGCAAGTGCGTACGAGCGAACGCGCGATCCAACTTTTCAGCTATGTACAAATGACCTATGGCACGATGACGTCATAGGGCTCCAGTGCGTAACTACGAACTGGCTTGACAACGTCACGAATTTTCTATGGTGTAGGATATATTTGTAAAATTTTTGTTGCAATTATTTAACATGAAGTTATTTATATTATTTCTATGGTCTAAACAGAGGAATTGCTCTAACCTGTGATTGGAGGATAAAAATAGAATTCGTGACGTTTCCTCTTTTATTTTGCATACCCCGCCGCATACGCTATTACGCTATATGACCGGTAGGAAAGTGTACTAACTATCATATGGCACGAACAATTTGAGTTACATTTGTATAGATTCTAGCTATTATAGATACCTGTCTTAGCTATAATCTCTGTGAATTTTGAGTTTATAGAAGCACGATTAGTCTGATTAATTAGCAAATATGCACGCGCGGTATCGCTCATAATTATAGGCTAATACACGCGCGGCTATGGCCGGTAGGAAAATGTACTATCATATGGCGCGAACGATTTGAGTTACATTTCTATAAATTCTGGCTATTATAGACACATGTCCTAGCTATAATCTCTGTGAATTTTGATTTTATAGAAGCACGATTAGTCTAATTAATTAGCAAATATGCACGCGCGGTATCGCCCATAGGCTAATATACGCGCGGCTATGGTCGGTGAAACGAAACGTCACGAATTCTATTTTTATCATCCAATCACAGGTCGGAGCAATTCCTCTGTTTAGACCATAGATGATAGATCCATGCATGGTTATTTATATTATTTCTATGCTTAGACGCATGTCTTGCTATGGGCTCTATTTATGTATGTATTTATGTTTTTATTTATCTATTTATTATCATATTTATTTATTTATCAGGCGGAGCCACATGCCTCGCCGAGTTAGCAATAGCGCGTTAGGTAGCTGCCTTTTGTTTGAATTAGAGGCGCGCAATGGATTTGGATTGATGGCCAAAGAATGGAGAATCGTGTCGTACGTTTTGGTCTGTATCTCCGGATTGCGGTGTATACGAGGAAACGATTTCGCACGATGCTAGGCAAATGTACTGTGTCCAATTTGAGCTCAAGTTGGATGAGTTACGCGTAGTAAATCGTAGGTATTATAAGGCTAGTAAATGACGAATTTCCCTTGTTTATTGATGTCACACTCCTTCCCTATTATCTACTCCTGATATATATATATATTCCCCAATTTATTTTTATTTTTTTTTGCGCATGAACCGTAAATGAACTAAGTAGAAAATTGAAGGCGAAGTTATTTCCGCTCGTTGGTTCCACACAGGAGAATGCTGGTACTCGTTTCACGCGTCACGTGATCAGTCACGTTAGTTCAAGAGAAAAACTTGAAACATCGACTTAAATCGAAAAAATAAAAAATATTATATACGAATTTTAAAATTTTATATAGTCTCTCCGAAAATATGCTAGCGCATGTTTGGTTATAGGAGGGCGAATTTGCAATCCGTACTGGCGAACAGAGAATTAATCGTACTCGGTTTACTGGAACAATTTGCTCAGAAATAGGGCGAGCAAGACTCCGCGTCCAGAGACCATCGCTGTATCAGCTCCGTCTGAATGCAAAAACACATGAAAATCTTTATCCATATGTATTTCCTATGGAGCTTCTTCTAAAGGGACATGAGTGAAAAAATATTTTTTAAAGTTCGTTTGAACGACAAAAAGTTCATGAAAATGGAACGTTAAGCGAAACAGCGTTAAACGGGTCCATTATAAAATTATGTATATAGCAATGCGTTCCTGATAATTTCATTTTGGCCTGAGATATATAATATACAACTAAACAATTGTAGTGACGTAGATATCGAATTATTTAACCTAGTATAAAATAATACTCTATACAATGCGTAATTCAAGAATGCGTTCACGCGAGTAAGTCACTAACTCTCTCTCCCTTTCTCTCTTTCTCTCTCTCTCTCTCTCTCTCTCTCTCTCTCCCTCCCTTTCTCTCTTTCTCTCTCTCTTTCTCTCTCTCTCTCTCTCTCGCTCTCTTTCTCCCTTTCTTTCTTTCTCTTTCTCTCTCTCTCTCTCTCTCTCTCTCTCTCTCTCATTGCTTACAGTGCACTGCAAACCGCGTGCGGCTTTGCCCCCAGGCAAATTTAGTTAGTTATGGCCCTGGTATCTGTAATATTCGCACTTATTTAGATTCAATCATGACATCACCTTTTTTCGTTCAAACGATCCTTTTTATCGTTTAAACAAACTTTAAAAACATAGTTTTTTACTCATGTCTCTTTAAAAGCTCCGCAATTTCCCAACAAACAAACAGATAAATATTTCATGCAGGTAACACTATTCCCTTTCACCACCAACCTCCCGCCTGGCGGTTATCATGCATATTAAATTGACATGTCAATTTATCTTCGTTTGGAGAAAATAAATTAAGGTTTAGTAACAGCACCGAGCGAATTTACTGTGAAACGTTTTATTATTATGGAGTTGTACAGTGGTTTCAGTGGGTCCCCGAATCATTCGGTTCGGAGAAGCGGCAGTCTTAAAACGC